CTTTATAATCAACCCAGTCAATAAATAGTTGAAATTTAACAAATATTGGTCGCTACCCGAATTTGTTGATCACTTTGGTTCATTATGGCTGTCAACCCTAATTTGAATTGAACGCACATTTTAGCTTTACTTACAATGGGTATGAGATAGAAATTGCTAAAAATGCTGCTGATTTTTGTATATTAGGGATTGAAAACTAATTAGTAGTAAGCCACATTAGCGCTCAGGCGCTAATTTAGCTTAACGATGACAAAAGCATGCGCCAATATATGCATACCAGTATGTACATACATGCATTAATGCATAAATGCACTCAGAGAAAAAGAGTATGGACGATCAAACATACACGATTGTAAAAAGTAGACAAGAATTTTGACGAGATTGACAAACAGTTTTCTAGGGTATTGGGGTAATTATTCCCAGCACTCAAAGGGTTAAAGGGTATATAAGTTTTGTGCACTGAAGGAGGCTTGGCAGACAAAGTATATATGTTCTTGATCAGTATGGCTGGATGAGTCACGATATGAAATTCTCCGCCTGCCTGTTCGTCTGCCTGTCCGTCTGTCTGTCCGTCTGCCTGTTCGTCTGCCTGTCCGTCTGTCTGTCCGTCTGCCTGTCCGTCTGTCTGTCCGTCTGTCTGTCCGTCCGTCTGTCTGTCTGTCCTCAAGAATCTCAGAAAGTATAAGAGCTAGACACAAAACTTGGATTCCAGATTCTCCTAAGCCCGAGAAAGGACAAGTTTGTTTTTTGTTTCTGATGTTAAAATATAAGTCTCCATTTATGTGTGTATGTATGATAAATTCTTTTTATTTATATTCATAAATTTTGTTTTAAACTAATTGTGATGTTGTTCACATGCTGGCCATCCATTCATTTAGCTAATTATTTCATTTTTCATTTCATTTATTCACAAAAATTGGCTCACAAATTGGTGTGTATCTATAATTAGTTAATAATAAAGAGTACAGGTTAGAAAACCTTGTCAACTTAAAGTGTGTTTTTACAGTTTATGAGTGAACGGTCAGTTTCTAATTAGTAACAAAGTTAATTATTTACTGCATTAAACGACTGCTACCTTTCGAATGTTCAATCAGCTCTTTAAATCGAATTAATTTTAAGTACTTTGCCAAATAATTGTCGGCTGTGTTTTGGGAAGTGAAGTTATTTGTAGCAGTTCAGGGAATTGTTTGACTAAGTTTCAAATTTTATGAATCTTGATTGATTTTTCGCTGTTTTCAATTCTATTTCTATTTCTGTGCAAACAAGGACATCAACTACCCAAGATTTATTGACGTTTTTTTATTTGAAAGCATTTCAAGGAAAAGAGACTTAAGGAGAGAATAAAAAGCGAATGACATCTAGGTTCCTATATTTTCCATGGCATTTACACATGTTTTTTTCGAGTGTATGAATAAATACACACACTTCGATTAACGTTAAATTAGCTGCATGCAACACAAAGCCCAACGTGCCACCCAAACGGGCAAAGCTGATGACGCGCTGACGACCACAATGAGTGACGACGACAGCGAATGGGGAGGAGATATGGATGGAATGGGATGGGATGGGGGCTGGTGATGGGCATGGGAATGGAGGTTAGGATGGGGATGAGGATGAGGATGGTCTGAAGTGGTCGCCTTGCCAGCACTTATCTTGTGCTGTGCATTGTCAGCGCTGCGGCCAATGCATTTGCCATGATTCAGAATACACAAAAGATGTGCACAGCCCAGCCGGCGACAGTTGAGGCAAAAAACGTTGTGGGTAGCTGGCGATAAACACACACACACACACACTTATCTGTATGGAAGCACAAAACAGTGGCTTTGTGTGCGAGTCTGGCTGCAACTAATTTGCTAGGCAAGCTGACAAAACAAGTCCCTGACCCCAAAAAGAAAAAACTATGCACAACAAAAAGCTTGCTCCTCTTACCCGCTTCCCCTCCTCCTACTGCCAGCTTTGATGCTGCTGGTGGCTGGTGGCTGGCGGCTGGTTACTGGTTGCTTGCAGTTGGATGACTGCTGGCTGGCAGCTCTACAACCAATATGAGTGTATCTAGCAGTCCGGCTTCTATGTCTGCATATGCAAAATGCTTGCTAAATCGAAGACAGTCAGCCAGTCAGCCAGTCAGTCAGCGAGCCAGCTAGGATATTCGTGGCTTATGGGGGCAACTAACTGAATGATTCAGCATGAATCATTGCAATCCAGCTGATGGGCGGTGGTGAGGGCAACAACAACAACAACAACAAGCCATTAATTTGCAGCAAATAATTGTACAAAACTCAAAATGCGGCTGCGGCTTCCGCATTATGCACAAATAATGCATATCCTTGTCTGCCGCAACGAGCTACAGACAGACAGCTAGCTCAAGGCGCCCATTATTTTCCCCCTCCTAATAATATCCTTGCCTGCAATGTGCAATTAAATGATGGCCAATAATGTTTTGGATTTATGAAAATTATGCTGAGAACAAAACATGAACAAAAGCCAGCTTCAAATCTGCCTCAGTGGCTCTTCATGCATTTGCCATGAATAGTCCTATTCGTATGTCGAAAATTTGTACAATTCAAATGTTTTCATTAGTCCAACCAGCATTAATACTGACCAAAATATCCCAAGAACTACAACAAGCAATTTGAAAAGCCTGCAAATAGATTGCAAACTACTTGCAGAAACAATTATTATAGTAAATGGGAGTGTGCTCTCCCAACCACACCGACTGCTGACTCACTCGTATATGAATATCCTTTGATTTCAATCTAGCGCTTCAGACAACAAATGCTAAGAGATAAGCCGCAGATTTGTTTGACTGCAACCGACTGATTAACTGATTATTTATGTGTTATGCTATATGTTAAGTTATAAAACCTGTAGTGCTAGTTGTTGATATGGAAAAATGGAGAAAAATAAGAACATCATCCCGTTTATGGGAGCAACCAAACCCTGGATAACGAGCTTATTTATTTATTCTCTTTACTTTCTTTTACTTTTTTTTACTTTCTTTATTCTTAACTACTGATCTACAAGGCAATGTTGAAACCTACGGCATTCATCTGTGGGGGACGACCAGCCGATGTAATGATACTAGATACTAGAGCGGTTCCAAACATTCATGACAGAAGGCATGATTGAACAAATCCATCCATGCTACCATATAATTGAATAATTATCCTCCTTAGGACGGATTTTAAATAAAGAATAAAGATTTAAAAAAAACTTGTTATTATTAATTTTATTATTATTTAATTTTATGACTTTGACATTTTCTTATCATCATCATGCTTCTTGTCATGATGGTTGCATCGCGATTCGAACTGAGTACCTTCTCAAGGAACCAAATCACATTGTGAGCTACGCCAGGCGCCATTTTCTTTAAAGATAGGGAATCATTGAATTTAATATATCAGCATAGTTGCCTCTCTCATGCCGCGTTCTTCTACTATTGTAACGGTAAATACTCTCTCGAATGTAATCCTGCGGGTTGCAAGAGAGCTGCCTGCGAGCATCGAGGAACTAGTCTTAAGAATACGATCGAACCGCACCCTCATTCGTGCTCTAAGGGTGGGACAATCTTTTGCTTCCACAATATCTTAAATATATTATATAAATATATCAAAATATATTAACCCACTAATAAATAGTTATATACGAGTACATTAGAATTGTCAGATATGCGTTCAAAATGAATTCAAAAATTATTGAAATTGTGCAAATTTCTCAAAAGAGAATTGTGCATCCACATATTCCATATGTCTCAAAAATTCCTTTATCTTGGGCTGCTCAAACAATAGAGTATCTTTTATCGACATTTCGTCATTAAGCACAGACCGGTAAATGTATATATCGCCAATATGAATAAACTTGTTACATTAACAAAAATAATTAATTATATGTTAATAAAAAAGAAAACAACTGCGCTGATGGGTCGACAAAGATTTAAATAAATACATATATGTATGTATACCTAATAGAGTAAAAACCTACTCTATTCTTTAAGATTAGGTTAGTAGCAATTAATTATAAATATGACTCAGTTCAGTGAGAACAGGCTTTATAAATAGGAGCAATTCCTTGTATCAAGACAAGAGCTGATTGTTTAAAAAAAACGTTTTGTTTTTGAATGCGATTCAAATTTCAATGAATTTCCCGAATATTAAATAAAACAAATACTATCAGATATGCAGTTACCTTTTTAAAATAACAATTAATATGATCAACATGATCAACAAATAAAACTACAAAGATTTCCATTCCTAGTAATACAGAATTTGGAGATAGGCGGCCAACTTTTATGACTCGGGTGCAAAGGTCAAGCCAAACATTGGCATTGAGCAGAGTTTATCTACAATTTAAAAAATGATTAAGCAATACTCCATATTAAAACAGATTAAAAAATTTATAAAGACCCACTTCAAGTGCATAACATTCCAATTTGTCATATCATATGACGTAAGCTGTAATTTGAAAGGACCAGAAAGCTACAATTACTTTTTTTTATTTTATTGATCTCTGCAAGGATCAGTTGGTCGGGTAGTGGCACTGGGTAGTCTTCTCTTGTTTTGTACATCAACTCATAAAAAGACGTCCTTAAAACGGTCTACCTCCCATTTTGGAAACACAGTGCTTCGATAAACACAGCTCGGATGGTTAAATTATGGATTGAGTGCCAAAATGTCAGTTTTTACATATTGAAGTAAGTTAAGAAAATGTTTAGAAATGTAGGAATCCTGAAAAAAAGATTTCAACAAAGCAGAGCAGAATTAAATGAAAGCGGAGCTTAGTCAATAATTTCTCTACAAATGAATAAGTCGCTGGCCAATCTCAACTGGGTAGAATCGACACATCTTCGATTATAAGTTAACAAAAATGTTCATGATCGAAAAGCTTCAAATAAGAAATGAAAAAATGCAGCATTAATGAAATGCAATTTCAAGATTAAAATTATTATAATTTTGTAATATTTGTTTATAGAGTAGTCATAAGTTTTGTGAACATTCACTTACCTTCTGCCACATGTGTGTGTTTATTGTGGAATCGTTCAAATATCGCCGCGTTTTGAGTGATTTTGGTATTTGATTTTTTTGTGTGTGTTTGGTTTTCAAGAGAATATTTTTGGAGAAAATTTGAGATTAGAAACACTTGAATTGAAGTTTACAACAACGTGTGGTATTTTTGTCTTTTATTTTTGTGTCTATATTTTAGGTTTTTTTTTTTTGTTTTTGGGGTTTTTTGTTGTGTTTTTAATTTGAATTATTTATACAATAAAATTCAACTGGTAAACGCTCAAAAGAGAACGAACGAACGCATCAAACGAGGGAACGTGGAAACTACAAATGCGAGTATATAACAATTCATATTTAGCATATATAAGAATATATATATATATATTTGTATATATATATACAGATATATATAGAAAACATTTAGGGAAACTTGAGACTAAGAATAAATTGGACAAGTAGTAGTAGTAGCCCATTGAGTTCGTATTTTCATATTTGCAACACGCAGTTAAAAAGCATTCACAAATTATGTAAATTATAATGGAAATAAATCGAGAACAAGAACACAAATATAATTTTAATATAATTGTTAATTTATCTCTTTTGCATTTGAATTCATTTAGTTTGATAATTTCAGCTCTGGTTTCTAAATTGTCAAGCCATGCATTGCGATTGTGATTGTTTGTACGAGTATGTGAGTGTTTTTTGAGTAATTGACTGTAGGAGTGGGGAAATGAATGCCTTAAATCTGTAAGCTGTATTATGAGTGGAAGAACTATTTACATTTTGAAGCTGCCTGTAATGGGAGACTCGACAGCGAGACTTCCCATCTAATATGCAACAGTTGGGCCAATTTTTAGCAGGGCCACAATTTTTGTTAATGATCGATTGCTATTTGATTCACGTATTAGAGCTCTGCACGTATAATACAAAAAATACTGCAACTGTTAGTTAAAGGTATATATTAGATATATGAATGGTTTCTTTTATAGCTAAATGAATCTCTGATGAAGTCCACTGAAGCCTAGTGGCATAAGGTTTAGTATAATTTATTTCTCAAACTAAGGATTGGGAGACTTTACCGAGACGTGGCCAAGTTCTTTGGAACAATAGTTCAATAATTTTGAAGCCTAAGGAGACCTAAAAGTATACAAATATTTTTCGTATACAATCTTTGTTAACTAGTGTTCAATTGCTCTTACGATTATGAAGGGATTATGGGTATTAACAACTACTGGACTATGAGGGGGAAAATGTTAAACGTTCAAGCACCAAAAACTATGGATAAACGCATAGTTCTAAACGATAGTTGTAGGTTTCTGGTTAGCGTAGTATCACTGGTAAGGTTTTATTTTGAAATGATGAAGAAAAGTTCGAGACATGTTAATAGAAAGTAGAGAAATAGAGAGAATAACAGAAAGTTTCGTTCTTTTTTTTGTAAAATTCGATTGTTATTTTTTTTTTGTTATTAAATTTTGTTATGGTTGGTAGTAGGTATGCAAAATGTTATATTTAACTAATTTTCCATGACAAAACGCCGCTAAGTGGTTTGGGGGGAGAGGGGGTTTACGGAAGCTAGGGTTAGCTAAGTACGAGTACACTATGTATGAAAATATAGTATATTATGTATTTATAATAGTACATGGTAGGTATACAAATATGTATCTTATTTATAGATATAGATTTTTATATGGAACATATACCAAAAAGATAAAGAAGTACATTTAAGAGGCGCTCACTTCTTTCAAATGGAAGCGTAGACGACATTTTGAAAACGTAACGAAATTTTCTTGCTGACTATGGAACTGGCTGAATTGGTGGTAGTTGGTAGTTGGTACTTGGTAGTTTATACTGGTACTGGTACTTGGTGATGGTGGTGGTGTTGGCTATTATATAGATATATATATATAGATATTTGGCGGTGGTGGTGGTGGGTGCAACTGTAGCGGGTTAACTTTTGCTTTTACAAATATTCTATATATGTGTATATAATTTCTCTTTCTCTCTGTCTTATTGTTAATTGTTTATTGTGTTAACTCGACGCTGATAAAGAATAGTATGCTTTACTTTGCTAGTCTTTTTTTCTTTTTTGTATTCTTTATTATTATTTGTTGTTTGAGGTGCGTGGCTTATTGTTAATAAGTATGTTTGTGCTTTGTCTTAGTCTCTTTGCTTGACTGTTTGTTGCTGTTGCTGGTTGCTGGCAAAATAAAAAACGTTGGCAATTAAAACAAAAACTGGCTTTAAGGCAGAATAAAATTTTAATTTCGATTTCAATTCGTTATTATTATTGTTGTTTGGTTGTAGTAGAGCTAGTGTTGTTGTTGTTGTTGTTGTTTTTATTATTATTATTAACAATCGCGACGCTCTGCGCTGTCACTGCCTTGGTAAGTAGCTGCAGTTGTTGTTGTTATTGTTGTTGTTGTTGTGTACAATTGTTGGCTCTCGATTTAGTTAAATGTTATGCGAGTCGAGCACGCGAAACAAGCACAAGCAAGACACACGCGACCGATCTGAGGCTGAAGTTAAAGACGAGCTAGCTGCACGATGACGATGGCCGAGAGTTAAAGTCAAAGCGACGGCAGACGGCAAAAGTTTAAACAAAACGTGCCAATGACACTGGGGTTTTTACACACACTACTGCATGTGTATAATTGTGTATGCGTGTGTTTGTTTGTTGTATGGCTGCTTGAGGGGCCGGTGCGGGTGTGCCCGCATAGGCAGCGACAGCGACAGCGATGACGGCAACAACGGCAAGTGGTTGAAGGCAACGTGCGTCGGCAACAAAAAAAAAAAAATAAAATAACAGGCACGCACACACACACACTCATACACACAAACACTCACACACAAACAAAAAGAAAACAACCCTCCAAGTCAGTAACTGCTGACTCAAAAGGAGATCTGCGGCTCTGGCTGCACTTGCTGGTGTCGTCGGAGTGGCAGAGTGGCGGAAACACAAGAAATGAACTGCGAAGACGAAGACGTAAACATAAAACTAACGGTAGAGTTACGGGGCAAACAGAAATATAAAAAAACAACACCGAAATGAACAAAAAGAATTGCTTGTATTTTGTTTGCCGTCGTCGACTTGATTTAAAAACATCAAATTTTACCATAGACGATGAATATGTTTGTTGTTATTATTATTGTTTTTTTTTTTGTATTTGTCAATTGTGCGTTACTTGTCGCTGTTGTTGTTTTTGTTGTTGTTGCACGCACTCTCACACATACTGCACAAGAAAAAAAAGTAGTTGTTTGTCGCATTTATTTAACGTGCAGAAATTCGAAAGTGCAGAGTGAATTTAATAGCCGACTTTTTAGCAGCACACATGCGACAGGACACTGGCAACGAAAAGGACTAAACGTGCAGGCGACTTGCCACGCGTGCCAGAACGATGGCAATGACGACAGGACTGGCGAGACGACAACGGCAACGATGACGTTGGCAATGCGAGCCACGCCGAAGCTCTCTGTGAGCGCCCGAGAGCGCACAGTGAGAGAGAGAGAGAAAGCGCACAACTGGCAGTGTGAGAGCAAACGTGAGCGTACGCAAAGCTTTAAGCGCAAACAGCAGACAACGTGACGTTGCCAGCCGCCTCAACTCAATGGCATAGCGGTAAATTTGATATCAAGCGCCAGACTGTTGAGCCTTTGGAAAATGCCTCGTTGAAGCTGTGATTCGAGTATCAAACGGCAAGTATAGCGCATGGCCAGCCATTTCTTTTTTTAAATTAATTGAAATCTAAATGTGAAATAACATTTTGTTAAAACTTTGAAATTAATGGTTTATTTTTTGACAATTAAATATAGAGCATTTGTAACAGCTGGGCCTGCCACCGTTTGGTATTTGGCAAATAACAGCCCGAAATCTAAGAAAAATACTGCGTTGGCTTGAAATTCAGACAGATTTTAGACATTTTTAAAAATAACACAGCGTTTTAACTGCAGGTTTTTTACTACTATTAAAATATACATTATGTAGATACTAATATACATATATTACAGATATTCTAAAGTACTGCATATTTTTTCGACTTCATTTTTTCAAAACTATTTTCCTTTTACAGTTTTGTTTATGCAACAATTCAAATCTTCCAACATTTCGATTCACTCCCGACCCTTCTCATTACACACATTTCAATTTTTTCAAAACTTTGATCAAAAGTAAAGCTCGCTTTCTCGAATGAGTCATCACTTCAAAGCAGTTAATTCAAATTGTCATTGCTCAACAGTGCTCAACAATTCGATTGTGTGCTCTCCGGTTGTGTGTGTGGCAAACAATGTATTACATACATACATACATACATACATAGAAAGAAGGCTATGAAAAACATGTGACTGGACTAGAATGCCAATTAGAATATTATTTTGTGCTGGCAACGCTGTGAGCGAAACTCTTGCCTGCAATATTTTGACATTTCGAAGGGCAAGAGAGCGCAAAAGCGCCAATTTAACGTTGGGCCGAGTTGGAGGGGAGCCGTTGCTTGAGGGTTTGTGAGTGAGTGAGAGTGCGGCGATGTAAGGAACGAAGGCGCGCACGACTTTAGTCAAAATAATAAATATCTAAAATGTGTTTGTATATGTATATATATATATATATATATATATATATATATATATATATATATATATATGTGTGTGTGTGTGTGTGTGTGTGTGTATGTGTCTAACTGGTTGGAAAAAGTAGCTGCTGAGTCAAAGACATGTTGCTACGAACGAAGTCGTCGTTGCGTTGTCGTCGCTACTGTTGTTGATGTTGTTGTTGTTTCTACACACCAACACTGTCTGAGTGTTCTTCTATGTATGTCGGTGTGTGTGTGTGCGTGCAGAATATTGTAGCATACTTATTGCCAGCATTTATTTAATTAAATTTTTTGGCAGCACTTCTGGCACTCGCATTGCCAACAAAGTCCAAAATATTTTGAAGCGACCACTTGACAGTCTCAACTGACACATTGTAGTATTTATACATTTTATATAATAAGTGTGCTGTCCATACAACTTACACACACACAAACTCATTCACACACACACAAGCATACACACACACGCACACACACACACACACACACACACACAAGCATACACACATATGTATGTATGTGTAAGTGAGGGGCACACATTGGCTAACACATGGGAACACGCGCGCGTTTATGTGCCGTCGGCATGGAAATTCAATTTAAGGGCAATTTTCACACACTGAAAAAAAAATCATAAATAAATTGAAATGAATATGGAGATAAATAATTGCAATTATCACACGCGACACATCTGTCGAACCGAACGATGGACTATTTGTTAAATTTGTTGTAACATTATTATTAATCGCGTGCCTCTCGTACCGTTAGGGTTCTGTGTACGCTTCGAAGTGCTCCAAATGCAAAGAACGCACTGAAGTCATGCCTCTGATATTTGTCAAGCATTAACTTGGAACTACGGCGAACGCAAGCCGATGGCAATGTCATCACTGCGAGAGAGTGAGAGTAAATGAGAGAAAGGGAGAGAGAGAGAGAGAGAGAGAGCGCGCAAGTGCGAGCGAGCAACCCCCAATACTTACTGTACCAACCCCCAATGTGAAAGCGCCTATGGGGGTGTGCTACATGATGAAAGCTCTGAAAGTTTTCCCATTTTCCAACGATATCCGCCAGGTGGAGGATGGCTTCAACAACAGGTTGAAGCACTGGCTGAAGGTGCAGGTCAAGCAAGGCGTTAATTATAGATCTACGTAGTTTTTAGGTTAAGTGTCAAGCAGTGCGCATTGCTTAGAGTCTTAGAAAGCAGTGCTCAAAAGCTTTGACTTAAGCAGGAAAGTGTTGAACATATGGACATTGAAGCTACGTTATTGAGATTCTAACCAAATATTATGTAATATAGTAATTCTTCCAATGTCCACGCGGAAGGGTAGGATGAGCACATTACAAAAGAGTAAATTGCCTTTGCTTAGATACTTTGGTATAACGCTAAGGGACTAAAAGGACATCGAAAAAAAGTGAATCAGGCCAATTCCAGTTAACGATTTCTTTTCCGTTTTCCGAAACATATTCAAAACCTATAGCTTATCTTCTACCAATTATCTTCATATTTGCCGATACACATACACATCCTTGTAGAATACGAGTATAAAGTCAGAGTACTGAAATAATATTTTTAAAATTGGGCTATTCAGGCCTATTCCCGTTTCCAATTAAAATATTGAATTATCGAAACACGATCGATTTCTTAAGTTTCAAATTTTTTTTTTTTTGACTGGGAAACCAAACCATTTTTCCATTGGATATTATTTAAAATATTGAATATTTCAAAAATGTGATAATTGTCCAACCCAGGATAGATCTTTAATAAAGATTAAAGATTTGAAAAAAAACTAAGCTTTCATAAGCATCTACTAACTCGCGGTTGTAATAACTTAAAAGTAATCTGGTAATTGTAACACTGGGATAAGTTAATAAACAAATAAATAAAATTGATTTTTTTTTTAAGCAATTACTAAACATATAGCTGTAAAACAGTAGCTGTTTTGAAAACATTTCTCAATTCCATTACATTGTTTTTGATGTTCATAAAGCTTCAGAGTTGTGAATAGAATTTAGTAAGTTTCGGACAAACGGACAAGCAGACAGAATCCGCCACTAGATCGGTGAAAATAACTTGTGCCTACTATAGTTAAAAAGTATAACCCTCAGACACAAACTAAAAATGTACATAGTTTTGTATTTTCTTAAAAAATATGTAGTATGTGTTTTAAAGAAAAGAAAGAGAAGGCAAATTTACATTTTCCAAAAAGGATGAATTGTGCTCCAGCCCTTCAGTGCGACAGATTTAATCTCCCTTGGCCTTCGAATGGGTGCGTATGGCGAGCGTAAGATCTTGCAAGCGATTGTTACGCCAATGAATGTTATCCCTGCCTCGCTCAATCAGCCGACTTATGGCCGTATCTATGACGGGCAAATCATAAAGCTGTTCGAACATTAAGGTGCGGAAAGCCTCCAATTCCGTCTGGGTTGATACTTCCAAAATCAATGGCCTTACAATCTGGACAATCTGGCCAGTTACATTGCCCAAGCTATAAAAGAAATAGTGTTCATTTCGATAGAAACCTCCATCTCGACTGCTTACTCACAATTTTTTGATGTTCTTCATGTTGGCGAACAGATAGCTCTTGGCGAGGAAATAGCCCACAGAATTTCGGACGACCGATTGAAATGTTTGAACCGTAATATGCTTGCTTTTGGCCTCAAAAGCCCAGCGAAGTACCTTCTCCAAGGCCCATGTGTCGCGACTACAGCCGAGCCCGGCCAACATAACACTGCGCTCGTTGCTCACCTTCGACGCGGCGAAGAGACGATGGAGGGTCGTCCATTCGGACTCGCTTCCCATTCGAATGGCTGTACAGAAAACGACGTCCCGCTGATCCTCGGGTATCTTGGTTTTGTTGGCAATAAAGTCGGCAAACTTCTTTGAGGCTCTCTCCAAACATTGCGGCAGATCGAAGTTACATGCGATTTGCATTACAAGACGCATCATTGCCTTGCTGGCATTACTCCCATTCGTATCCTTACCAAAAATCTTGCGGAACTGTGGCTCTATCAATAGACGCACATAGCTCTGTAATAATATTAGACCACCGATAAACTGTCACTGTACAGAGAAATATATTTTCTACACTTTTCCTTAAAACAGCGCTGGTCAGACTGGCAAATAATTTGCACACAAATTTGACGAATTTAAAAATTATTGGAACTCCATACTGATAGAAGAACATTATTGAACACCAACCATTTCTTTCGGATTTATTTTAGAAATCGTAGCCGAACCGATTCTCATTATGTTTTGCCTTCGATCATTATTTGGGGCAAAGAACTCTATACTGATAAAAGAACATTCTCGTACACCAACCATTTCATTCGGATTTACTTCTAAAATCGTAGCCCCACAGATTCTTATAAACAGATTCTCATTCGATCATTATTTGGGGCTGTATTTCAAGCAAAGAACTCTATACTGATAGAAGAACATTTTCGTACACAAACCATTTGTTTCGAAATCGTAGCCGAACAGATTCTTTTAAACAGATTCTCCTTCGATCATTATTTGGGGCTGTATTTCAAGCAGGAGAAAGTACGGAAACAATATGTTGAGACTATTTACTTCCAAGAATCCCGACCTTAAGTCAATTTAAAAATTGTGAGCGTGTTTTAGTTTTATCCGCAAATGATTTGTTTTGCAACGATTTCCCCTTGGAACTCATGTCTTTAAATAGCGATTTGGGATTCTTTTCTTACCTTAAACAAACGATAAGCTGGTGCCTGCTTGAGAGCATTATTAATGCGATTTAGGGAGCGCAGTGCTGCCTCCCAAACCACAAACCTATCCTCACGATGTATGTAGCTCATCAGCGTCAGTGCCAGATTGTAGGACTCAATGCCGGTCCACGCGAGATTTAAGGCATCATCAATAATTTGAGCGCGATTGATTTTATCAATGCTTTCAAATTCATCCGAGAGCAGGGTTTCAGTTATTAGGGCCCAGTTGATGGGGTCGTAGTTGACGCGATAGGGGGCCGATAGGCGGACATTAAATATAACCCAGTTATCGGGTGAGCCCAGGTTCGCTATCTCGAGTGGTGGTGCCACCATTTTGCCCGTCGTTGGACACTTGAGCCAGGCTCGTGGCATCGAGTGTGCAAAGTCGGGCTTACTCTGAACCGTATAGCTGAGCGGCAACCACCAGCAGCGGTCTCGGGACTTTTCCCTCGTGTACGAAGGTATGTCGTTGGGGTTCGGTGGTGTGCGAAAGAAACGAGTTTGGGTCACCGTAGCCGTCTTATTCTCATGATTGCGTATGACCGTTATGAGTGGATAACCTTGATCCTGGGTCCACGAGTTCATCACCGTCTGCACTTTAATGTCGTCTCGCAAGCTCAAGGCCTTTTCCGATATTTGCTGGAATATCTCCCACAGCTCATCCGGATCCAACAGGTCCTCAGCATAGCGCTCTACAAAGGCACGCATGGACTTGAGGAAGACATCAGTTCCAATTAGATGATGCAGCATCCGAAAGAGCATAAATGATTTTGTGCGCGAAAAGGAATCGAACGCCTGCCAGACCCTATGTTCCAGATTCGCATCAATGGACAACGAATAGGTGTGCACATGATCGTCCTCCTCAAACACATTAAAGATATTAGCGAGTAAGAGTTTCTCGTGATGTCGCCAAGTGGGCTCGACTTTGTCGAGACCAAAGCCGGCTATATACATGGCCAGGCCTTTCATGATCCAATTGTCATCCCACTTGCTGATGGACGCCAAATGTCCAACCCACTGTTCCGAGAACCGTTGGGCGATTCTTTCAGCCACGCGCTGCTTCACATTCAACGAATCGATATTCTCTTTATACAGAAAGTTCGTCTCTTGAAAGGAGATTAGACCAAAAGATTCCCCCAAATTAGTTTCAATACCCGACAGTACCAGTTGATCGATCTTGGCAAGTGGATGGGAATGATTGAAGAGCCACTCGTTGTAGTCCAATAGCTCCGAAGATATATTCATGGCATAACTGCTATGATCCTCAGTGCCTGGTCGCAGCCAAGCCGTAAGTTCAGGTGATTTCTTCCGTACAAATTTCTGCTCAACCAAACTGTTGAGGGAGTAGGCCAGAAGGTATGTGGGCATTGGGACGGACTCTTCGAAATAAGTCCACACGAAGTCCTGCAGGAATGTACTATGATTGGACAGGAACTAATCAGGCAATTGTTGAAGCAGAAACGATCATAACTTACTTCTTGACTCGTTTTTTTGGGGGCATGTTGCTGACAGCCTGCAGACTCTTATGATGCGCCAGATTGAGAATAAATGGAGTCTTGAACTGTGGATCGTCCAGACAGGGAAAGGCGTAGTGTGCCGTATTCGGCTTGAAGTGTGTGGTCGTCAGCCACACCGTCTTGTTTTCATTGTCCACATAACTGGTCTTATAATAGCCAATACTCTCTGTTTCCAGTGTTCCTTTGAATTGCAACAGCAGCTTATACTGTTCGCCCAGCCACAGCCGATTGTTAAAGTGTACAATTATCTGCTCGGCCTCGGGTTTCGTCTCGGTGCTATTGATGGTGATCCGAAGACCAGTGTTCTTGCGCCTCAGCCAAAACTTCTTCACATGCAAACCCTTGGCATTTAGGGTCAGATAGCGTTGCTCCACCTGCACGATTAGTTCAATTTCCACTTCCCCATAGAACGAGTCGTTCTGCAATGTGACTATCGTCAGGTTATATCTAATGGGCTTCACATTCTCGGGCAGTTTCTGCGACTTGAGCGTTCTTAAATGCGCATCCTCCATAGCAGACAACAGCTTCGGACCCCACAGTAACGCACAGGACAGCGCTAGCAGCCAAAGATAAGACATATCAAGACATTCAATGGCAGATGAAGTGGCACTGAAGTCCCAACTCCTACCCGCATTGTATAAGAGCTTTAACGTAACTCCAAATCGAAAACTCCCCGAACATTTTCACGCTTAGTCCAAGCGAGACAAAACACTTTGTAGAACAACTGCGAGGGCGGTACTAAAAAATAATAAATAGAAAATAATAAATAAGATCTGTTAAGGTAGGACAATTATTGAATTGAATGGTAACCTTGAAATTTGTTCAATCTGCCTTCTGATGGATGTGACGTGATTCCAACCGAGTTTTTTAAAAATGATTGTTTTTGAATTAAAACTTCTTGTGTGACGGTTTTGAATGCTGGATCGGCAACCTTTTCCGTGACGAAATCAATAGCACGGTAATAGGCGCACATAAATGAACAGCAAGCAGACCAGTTGGCGAAATTTTAATTGTGAATGTAAACAAAAATCAGCTGTGCTTTGAAGATGCGTTCATGAAAATAACGGTACAATCTGAAATGTCTTGGTGTTCTCCTATTGATCATATTTCACAACACGATCCTAATGGCTAAAAAGCTCATAATCGTTAGCAGTTCACTTGGCATCTGCTTATATATGCCTATCTGGTAGATCTTGAATAGCCATTTTTTGGGGTTTTCGGGTTTTCCAGGAAGATTTTTAATGCGAAATAGACCATCGTTGTCTGTGGCTCTTGAAAGCTGGATCGGCAACCATCGGTGACGGCGGGCTTTCTATCTATTTTAAAGCAGGCTTAAAAGCTATTTATAGCGGTGCTTCTATCCATTTTCTAGAGGTTTTTCCATCTATTTTTAATGGGCTTTCTAGACATTTTCTGGCAGATTTTTAGCTTCTACCTTTTGTCTAGCTACTTATAATGGGTTTTCTTGCCATTTTCTAGCGTTTTAGTATTTATAAATTTAGATATTTCAATAAATATAAATGATTTACTTATATTTTCTTTATAGTTTTAGTGGGTTTTCTAGAAATTTTAGATAGATTTAATGGTTTTTCTAGCGGATTTTCTAGCTATACATAGCGGTTCCAAGACATTTTTTAGTGGTTTTTTAGCTCGATAGCCGAAAGCGATAACCATTTTCTAGCTATTCTTGTCAAGCCAAATTTACAATAGCCCACAATTATTATAAATAATTATAAAGGCTCCCTAACTAATCTAAAAAATAAATAACTTTAATTAAATTAAATCAATCCATACAACAACCATTAAGTTTCATTTCCATCGTAAATTTTTTTCAACATAACTTTCTTGTTTTTCTCTTTAATTTTTCAAAATAAGTAAATAAATAAAATAAATATTTACAAATGAAATTCATGCCATTTTTTCATTGTTTCTTTCGAATGGCCACAAGTTTAAAAGGCAACCGCCTTTTAAACTGCTATCGAATCAGCACTAAGTAGCGATTAGTTATCGAAATGCGAGTATCGAGCTTAAGCGGATTCGCCAAAGCTGTTAAGAGTTGAAGAAAGTTATCAAAAATTAAAATTTTAAAAATATCGAAACTAGCAGCAGACGACAACACCAAACAAAATAGCGAGTACAAATCAACGAGTGGGTAGCACAACGACACAAACAGACACACAAACGCACACACGCACACACGCAATCGAACATTTTGTTTTCACAACATTTTCGCAGACGGCGCACAAGACACGCACACACCTACACGCACACGCACATGGTACGCGTCCAGTGGCGCAAAGGACGAGTAGAAAAAGCGCAATAAGTTTTCAACCCCCAACGAAAAACAGCACGGAAAAAAAGAAGAGAAAAAAACGAAGGAAAGGATAGCATGCTACATGGGGCGCCAAAAGCAACGAGCGCGCTCCCTTGCTACTATCGGCGAGTGCAGGAACACGAGAGAGCGCGTAGAAATTCAACGCACGCGCCCCACCGCTCTCCAACGCAGCGACAGCAACGTCGGCAGCGACTTCAGCAGAACAACCACCCGCACACAGACGCCAACACTCCACACACACACACACAAACACGCATGAATGTGGCAGCAACCAACACCCACCCACCCAGTTGGGCGCAAATCGAAAACACAACAAACCGTAAAGCATTCACGCTGCGTCGCAGCAGCGACACACGCGACGTCGACGTCGATGCCGGCGTCAAAGACAACAACAACGACAACAGCGACGTTGACAACGCCAGCAGAGCGGCATGGAGAGCGCATACACTATTGGAATGACAGGATGTGGGCTCTGAGCTCCGTTGTGGGTGACTCAGGAGTAGTCGCTATTCTCGTTCTCGCGTTTACATTCTCTCTTCTCCACTCTTTTCTGTGTACCCCTAGTGGTGGGTAGTGGGCGGTGGGGAGCGCTGAGTGAGCAGTGAGGGAGGGGAGAGTGGGAGAGAGGGCGCAGCAGCAGCAGCTTCACCACTACATAAACAAAAATTCGATTTATGACCATCGTGGACTGGGAACTGAGGAACGACAACGTCGGCATCGTTTCAAGCAGGCTTTCGGCTATACCCGCTGCCCCCCTTCCGGGGGGTAAATGGTGCTGCTAGTGGATATATGGCAGATGTAGATGTTGCGCGATTCGGTTTGGTCGCTATCGCTTCGTGGAGTGGTTTTATTTGCCGCTCGCCGAGTTGGACAGACTTTGACAACGACAACGATAACGACGACGATGACGACGACGACGACCATGGGGACAAGAACGAGAACGGCTGAGAACCGACTCTGACAAGGGGCTCTTTGGCACATGCAGCAAGGTCCATACTAGGCATAATGCACTGTGCAACATACATATTTTTATTACATATTTTTTTTACCTATATAGTGAGTTAAATTTTCTCATCAAATTTCTAGTAATTAATAGTAATAGCTCAAGTGGTTTTTCGGAATTGCATTCGGAATCGCATTATCCATTTCGATTCCACATAATTCTGCCGAATTCGGAAATGGAATATAATTACTAGATGGGCTTTCAGTACGCACTTTATATTCCTAGCTATGCTGGACTATACAAAGAATAATAAAGGATTTGAAGGAATGAATGGAATAAAAGAATTGAAAGAACGAATGGAAATTACGAATGAAGTACATGAAGGGAATTCACGAATGGAATGCATGAATGGAATGCATGAATGGAATGCATGAATGGAATGCATGAATGGAATGCTGAATGGAATGCACGAATGGAATGCATGAATGGAATGCATGAATGGAATGCATGAATGGAATGCATGAAGGGAATGTACGAACGGAATGCATGAATGGAATGCAGCAATGTAATGCATGAAGGGAATGCACGAACGGAATGCAGGAATGTAATGCACGAATGTAATGCATGAAAAAATGCATGAAAAAATGCATGAAAAGAATGCATGAATAGAATGCCTGAATGGAATGTATAATACCAACAAATAAATTGAAATAATGAATGGAGTGCATGAAGATAATGCATGAATCGAATGAAATAAATATCTTACAAAAATAGCCTTATAGATTCATTGCAACAGTTGAAGTGACAAATTCCGCAAACATCACTTCCTTCAAAACCAATAAGAATTGTACACTACAGTAGTATAGTGCGACAAATAACTTCTATGGGAATAAGTTTATAATCAGACTAAAGAGACCATGAAATGGAAATAATAATTCACATTTGTTTCTTTATTTGCTGAAATAAAATCAAATGCTTTGCTGACATATTTTTGCAATTACATGCCCTTAACATTCCCCATTTTGTTGAGTGTAGCGAGCAACCACAGCAGGCACTGGCACAGGCACAGGCACGACTCGATGCTTCTTCTATCATAGAAATGGCAGCGACAGCGCCACTAACATTGTTGTATTTGCTGTTGCTGTTGTTGTTGTCTCTACCATTGTCGCTAGCTTCGTCATCTCAATTCGCGAACACACACACACACACACGCATACATGAACACGTTGTTGGTGTCTCTCGGCGTCAGAAACAGCGACAGGAGGACGACGTCGACAGCGACGTCGCGCTTTTCGTTGGAGCCTTCGCAGAGCGCTTGAGTCGCGCATGATTGTTTGTGTTTGAGTACGTTTGTGTGTGTGTGTGTGTGTGTGTGTGTGTGTGTGTGTGTGTGTGTGTGTGTGTGGTGGAACTTTTTCGCATACACAGAGACAGGCACGGCGGCGTCGTTGGCGACTGTTGACTGCAGCAGCGGCAGCGACAGCGACGAGGACGACGACAGCGACGAGGACATACACATAAATAAAAAGTTTTTCATTCCGTCGCGACCAGCGAGTAACGGCATATGAGCGCTGCGGAGAGCATCGGCCAACACGCAAACGGCGGACAAAAAAATTCCAAACACATACAATATACATATATATATATATATATAGATATATTGATAATTATAGCCATAAGTACATATTCATTCATATATATATATTTATATATATAGAGCGGATACGGGCGACAACAAATGCCAGTTAACAATAATTGCAAAAGTGTCGCGTAGTGGAACGAACAGAAAGTGCAAGAGCTGTGCTTCTTTTTTTTACTGTTATTTTCAAGTGCGAACGAGTGTTGAAGAAAAAACGCAGTGAGCCAATGGAAGAAATATAAAAAATATATAATAAACGTAAGCAAAATATAAAAGGAAAATAATAGAAAAATTGTGATTTAAAAAGGAAGGAAAAAAGGCGAAAGGCGAAAAGTGCAACGGCGAATTTTATTCGAATGGCGCAGGCAGGTGGCAAGGGCATGGATAGCCATGAGAGGGGAGCGGGTGAGGAGGAGGGTGCGGGCCGCGACAGCAGTGGTGAAGGAGCGTCTAGCCCCACGCATATAGCGACGGGCGTGTGGTGTTTGTCACTCACAAACACACACATACACACGCACACTGCGAAAACCTCTCGACTGCTTCGAAAATGGCAATAACAGGAAATAAGCAACAAAAACAAAAATACAGTTTTTTTTTTTAATAATATATATTTGTATTTGTTGTGTAGTGTAAGAAATGTGTCGTAATAATATCACAGTTATGAGTGCATGTGTGTGTGTGTGTTTGAGCAACAACAAACCTATTTTTTGTTGCTGCCTTTTGGGCGTAGCAGCTGCAGATGTTGGCGGCCATGTGTCTTGTTTTTGCTGCTGCCGTTGTTGTTGTGGTGGCTGTGCTTGCAACTATTAAGCAGCCGCCGCCACACAAGTAAACAGCACAGCACAGCAAGATGCCCCAGCAACCTCGCCCCCCCTTTCCACCCATTCCCCTAACACCCCACCACCCCACTCAAAGAAGTAGCTAAAAAAGAAAAAAATAATTGCTAGCTCTAGAGGTGGTGGGCAGTGGTGCGGAGGGGAAGGGGGTGGCGATTGGGAGGCAGAAGGAGCTTGCGACGAGACTGCAGCGAGTAACGCAACGAACGCCCCAAAATGTAGCTGCGTGTATGTTTGTGTACATGTGTACGAGTGCGTGTGTGTGTGAGTGCGTGCACGCAACGGTTTTCCTTTCGTGAGCTTCGCGCTCGCTATTTTTCATTTATTCGTTCGCTCGCTCGCTCGGTGGCTCGCTGGCTGGCTTGCTCGCTGATTGTGGCTCGCGTTTCGGTGTCGGTGCCAAGCGCCGCCAACGCAGACGCCCTGACTCGCACTCGCACTCGTTCTCGTTACTCTTGCCTGCCATGTGTGTGTGTTTGTGAGTCCTGTGTGTCCTGGCCCGTTGCCGTCTGTTGACGTCGTTTTCGAGACTATTTGCCCATTGTCGCTGCCTGGGCGCGGGTGTAGATAAAAATTAATCGTATCGTTCCTCCTGTTTCTTCTTCTCTCACTCTCTGCCCCCTCATCGGAACAGCAACAGCGACAGCAACAACAGATAATAATCATAACAAAAACAACATTACGCCCCACATAGCAGGCAAAAAGTAAAAAAATATTTAGATATAAACATATATAAATAAAGAAAAGAAGCAAGAGAGAAAGAAGAAATTGTACGGTCACACTAGCAGCAATAAAGCAATGCAACAACAACAGCAGCAGCAACAACAACAACAACGGCTAGATCAACACCAACAGCAAAAGCAGCAACAACAACAACAACAACACAAACAACAACAACAAGTGTAGTAGTGCAGTGCTTTGTGCGCGCGTGTGTGTGTAAATAATGAAGAAGAAGCAGAAACAGCAGCAGAGGCAAAGTGCGCCAACAGCAGCAGTAGCAGAGCAGGCTGAGACAGAAGCAGCAGCAGCAGCAGTGGCAGTGGCAGCAGCAGCGGCGGCAGCGACGAAGGCAGCGGCAGCAGCAGTGAGAACGGCTACAACAACATCTGCAACGTTAAACGCTCTGACTGTGAAGCAACAACAGCAACAACAACAGCAGCAGCAACAACAGCAGAACAACAACATTAATAACAAATTTAGCAGGGGCAGCGGCAGCGGCGGCAAGAATAAGAAAGTTTCCAGCCGCAACAGCGGCATTACGAGCGGCAGCAACAACAACATTAACAACAATAACAATAATAACAAATAGCAAAAGTTGAGCGGCGTTCGGCAAAGCGCAGCAAAGTCGCAACAAAAAGCGCGAGCAGCAGCGGCGGCGCTGGCGCTGCCCAAAGCAACAACAACAACACCAACAAACACAATTATAGAGAAAGAATTAGCAACAACTACAGTAACAGCAGCGGCGGCAACAACAACAACACCAACAAGCACGCGTAGGCAAGTGAAGCGGCAAGCTAGAAAACGCTTAACACAAATCAACGACAGTGATAGCGAGAGCGACAGCAGCAGTCACAGTCGCAACAACAACAGCAGCAGCAACAGTCACAGTCAGAGTCGCAGTCGCAGTCACAGTCGTAGCCGCAGCCGCAGTAACAGTCCAAGTCGTAGTTGCAGCAGCAACAGCAGCCGCAGTAGCAGCAACAACAACGGCAGCGTCGCCGCCCCAAACACGCCGCCGCCGCCTTCACACACACAGCCCATGCACAATAACAGCAGCAGCAGCAGCATCAATATTAATAATAAGAATAATAATAATAATAATAATAATAACAAAAACAATAACGGCAGCGGTAACAGCAATACGAACATGTCCAAAACGACCAGCGCCGATTTCAGTGCATTTGATTTTAATGACAGCTCCGATAATTCAGATACACCTCTAGTGCCGCGTGCGCCCTTTTTGAGTCGCGCGGCTGCCGCGGCCGCCGCAGCAGCAGCAGCGGCGCTCAGTGCCAGCAGCAGCAATAGCAGCAGCTGCAACAATACCACCACCAGCAGCAGCAATCAGCAGCAACAGCAGCAGAGCTTGCTCGCCAGCAGCAACAATAATGCAAATAACAATACCGCTGGCAATAACAATAATAACAACAACAACAACAACAATAATAATAATAACACCAACAACTGCAGTAACTCGCTATCGAATAACAGCGTGCATAGCAGCAGCAATCACAACAATTCCAGCTCTAGCTCGCATTCCAATTCGAACAGCAGCAGCGGCAGCAACAGTCATGCCGATAATTCGGCAGCGGCTGCGGCGGCCGCAGCAGCAGCAGCTGCCACAACAGCCGCTGTGGCCGCAGCAGTTAATGCGCTGCACAATGGCAAGGTTGCAGGCACACAACAACATCAACAGCAGCATCAACAGCAGCAGCATCAGCAACTACAACAACAGTCGTCGCTATACAACAGCAGCAAACAGCAGCAACAGCAGCAGCAGCAGTTGCGGCGTGATGATGATGAGGATATGGAAGATGATGAGGATGAGTACGATGACGATGAAGATGACGACGAAGATGATGCGAATGATGCAGTTAATGACTTGCCACAGACACATATTGCTGATGCGCCCGCAGATCTCGCAGCGCGACACATAAAACAGGAGCATCAGCAACAGCAACAACAACAACAGCAGCATCAACACCTTCAGCAGCACCTACAACAGCAACAACATCAGCAGCAGCAGCAACAACAACAACACGAGCCGGCTACCGACTACGATGACGAGGGAGCGGATGAAGATGACGACGATGATGACGAAGATGATGAAGATGATGCGGGCAGCAGTCATTTGGACAGCCATACGGCCCTCACAGCCGCACATCTCAACTCGGCCGCAGCAGCGGAGTCTGGTGGCCTGCATATGAGTGCTGTGGCAGCAGCGGCCGCCGCTGCAGCTGCTGCGGCCGCAGCAGCCGCTGCCGCTGCCAAGATGAATGCAGCCAATGCCAGTGCCCAGATGGAGCACAACAGCGTTACGGGCTGTGGCACATCGAACAGCATGCTGGACGGCGCCCTTAGCATGGTGAGCGGTTCTGGTGGTGGCATTAGCACTGGGGGCGGCGGCGGTGGTGGTGTTGGTGGCAGCAGCTTGGCCGCTGCCAGCAGCCTCATCGGTGGCAACAGCAACACCAGCTTCTCCACCAACAACAACAGCAATCATGCACTAAGCTCAACGCTAGGCGGCGGCGCCTCCTGTGGTGAGCAACCGGTGCGCGGTTCCATAACACAGCAGCACCATGCGAGCGGTAGCAGCAGTGGTGGCGGCGGCGGCGGAGCCAGAGGTAGTGATGGTGGCGGTGGTGGCAGTAATGCCGCCAGTGAACGTCGCAAATACCGTCATCAAAACTACAGCAAGAACATCTACATAGGCACCAGGAATGCAGAAAAGTGGGAACAGATGCGAACGCGATTGCAGTTCAAGAACGACGTCGAGTTTGTGGCCTACCTCTTGAATCTGGCCGATAACGATACGGATCGCCTGAACAAGTGAGTATAACAGTAACATTAACGTTATATAGTATTACACTTAAAAGAGCAAATCCGAACGATCGTTCGGATCTCTAAAGCACCAAGTCTGGTGGAGTATTGAGCTATAATCTGGCGATTCCAGTATCATACCGTTTTCAGAAATGGATATTTCGTATAAAAGAGTTGCCAAGTTTTATTTATTCTCCAAACAATCTCCATCAATGGAGACTTAATCCCCAGAAGATTAAACACAATATTGAACTAGTTCTTAATACATCGAAATTCTCGAAAACAACTGCAATACATAGTTTTTTTATATAAACAATTGGACTTTGGACTCAAACATCAAAGTCTATATGATTTGTGGCCGAAAGTGTCAATACTTGCACTCTTTCCTTTGTGCTCCCTCTAGTGTGAGGGATTATTTGCGCCTGGGTTTTTGACCGTTGACCTCCAGTTAACGTGTTGCTCCTTAACTTGCTCGACCACTACGGCCCACACAGTCCCTTCTAGGTCCGTTTGCCCCTTAGGCTGCTGGACCACTACGTCCCACACCATCGCCTCTAGCCCCAACGGCCAACCGATTGGCGTGCCAGTCCTGATGCTCCCGAATCTGCCTGCGCACCTGCCGCACCAGCATCAAGAAGACGTCCGGCTTTAGCACGGCTTTCAGTTTTCTCAACAGCCGTGTTGGTCGCACGCAAACCATTATTGCGTTCGCATAATGGGTCACGGCCAACGGATATTCCTGGCGATCGTATGCCGCACTCCCCAAATGAACCTGCCTCACGAAAAGACGCTCCAGTGTTTCACGGTGCCTTTCAGCGTTTCTGGCCTCCGCCAACGCCTGCTGGCGGGTTCGACGCATCTCGGCGATGCGTCGCTCCTGCATGGTCCGCCTAAGATCGAGCTCGCTCCGACGACGACTATCGTGGTATAAGCAATAGCAAATAAACACAGCACTGGCGGCACCGGCGCAAGTTAGGATGGCCTGGTTCACCCCCTGGGGAATGCTGGGAATACTGTTCATCGAGGAAATAGTTAGTCTGGGTAAAACCATTTTAAAAAAGGCCGAAAATTGTTCACACATGCCGAAAGACATTTTTTTCTTTGTTTAAATATTGCTAGTTATAAAATGACAATCAAATTTTTTGACGATTTTGAAATAGGGTTAAAATTAATGTTTTAAAATTGAAAAAACGGAAGATTTTTTCACAATGTGTCTTTCTCGAAATCTAAAAATGTACTGAACAAAAAATATATTCAACTGACTTAGCTTTGAATCGAATTACAAAGGCTACTTTGGAAATTCAAAATCCTTGAAATCCGAGAAACATGGCAAGGTATAAAAAACAAGCAACAGGTCCAAAAAAGAAAAGAAAACATAATTTGGTGCCGTTAACTAAATTTCTATGAATCTCAACCTAAAATGTCTCCGCTCTATGTGCTTTTTTTTTAGAGATAGCTCCAAATATTTATCGGCAGTCTAACAAATTCTACCAATCGCTTTCTTTCGTATAATCCATTCTTTGTGCCTTACCTATGCAATGAATTCGGATGATTAGTCGTAATTTGTACACCTTTCTGTTAAGGATAAAGCTTTCAGCCCATATTAGAGACAAACTCATGATCAGGAGGTGATGCGATATCTCCTATCTTTCTTCTCAAATCATTTTTTCTAACCTAAGCTTCAAATCTTTTTGAAAACTTAACTTATACGTTTTCAAAAGCTATTTACTACAGCAAACGAAATTTGCGAAATTTGCCACAGATCAGCATCAGAACCTAATGTTAATGAAGGATCGCCAAATTGTGCCTTTCTTGGCATCCATTCTGGTCTAAATTGGTAATCATTAGTTAATTTTTTTTTATTTATTTTTATTTCAAATCCAAATCTTCAATTAAATTCAAATAGCTTAGCGATGAGAGCTTTGCAAAGATCGGTTCAGACTCTATATATAGTATACCTCTTGCAACAGCATATAGTAAACAACTTTATAAGACTGAATGACAGATTCTTAACAAAATTTCTTAAAAGCCAGCGTACCTTTACTGCCCAGAGGGTTTATCGTTGTTTCTTTTTCTTAATTTCTTCCAAGGCTAACTTTACAATGAAATATTTTTAATCGTAATTCACACAGAAACAAGTCCACCCACACCGCTCACCAACTCAGTTCTCTTCTTTTTTTTAAACACACTGCCTTATTGAACGAATTATTGGGAGAGGACTGCCGATTATTAATTAATCTTAAAGCTGTCCACCTCTAAACGGTTCAAAAATATTGTAAAATCTTCCAGCCAGCGGGACAAAATTAAATACAATAATAAGATATAAAAGTACAATTTCATTAAAGCTAGGATATATAGTGGCTCACAGCTGTGACTTTGAATTATTGTATTTCTTTTGATTTTTTTTATATTTTTAAACATAAAATAGTTTAAGATAAATAATAAATGAAGCACTTATGCTTAAGTTTAAACATTAATCTAAGAGTTTACGTTTAATTTTTGTTGATATCTCTTTTCATTTACAAGCTATACCTTTTTCAAATGTTTACTATAAGCTGTGAGCCATAGCTTTAAAATTAAAGAACTCGTAACAAACTGACGTATCGACTGACTCTGTAGTCAAAGCTGGTAACTTTTGACAAATGATATGCCTGTTAGCTTAAGAAATCAAAGCCTTATAGTAGCTTCAAAACTGAGAGACTAGTGCACTAAACAGCATCTCGGATTTATCTTGTTAGCTGATCGTTAGGTGATATAAATCTACATAACTCTATATTTACTCGTGTATACAAAATATTGTCTGCCACGCTGTCTTAAGCAGGCCATCCGCAGTCGAATTTGTGGCCCGAATTTGTTCGGTTCGACGAAATGTTCGACGTTAGTTGCGATTGAAGAATAGAAACATGATTGTCAATGGATAGCATCCGCGAACATCATTTCCGAAGAATATGTGAAGCAATGAGCAAAGAAATTTCGCTCCAATACATTGAATGGGGAAAAAAGACTGAAGATTACATAAAGTAAACATTTCCGTCATATTAACTTTCGCACATTTTTTTTTTTAAATTATGCTCGCGAGCAATGTTCGCCTCCATAGCGAGCAAATGTAAGTATTTGTGCTGCCGAACAAGTTCAGACATGTTCGCGTAGGGATGGCCTGCTTAACCCTAACAGCTCCACTAACGTCGAACATTTCGTCGAGCACAACAGATTCAGGCAAATTGGCTCATTTTAATATATTATTTTAATATATTTTAAAATATTTAATTGCCAAACGATTTTAGCAAATGATGTTCGCAAGCAATGTTCGTTACGTTAGTCAGAAAAGGCATTTCTATCTGCTGACGACTCTGTCCGCACTGGGCTGTGAGACATTTCCCCACCGGAGCGGAGGCGTTTATTAGATACTATTGTAATTTGATCAGACTTCTCCTTAAGCTTTCCTAATTTATAAGGTTTATTTTATATAAGCTTTATAGTTTTCCATCGCGACAGTTCATTTTTTGTTGACATACATACATATGTAATAAATACATAAATTTGTGCTGTGCCGACCAACTTTAGGCAACAAATTCGCGTGTGGATGGCCTGCTTTATGCGCAATACAAATATCAGTCCCTTACTTTAGGCTTAATGCTCTATAATATCGATCCCCATTATCGGTGAATTGTTGGCTTCGATCGCAAGAAGTCGCACGCGCTCACAAAAACGAGACAACGACGTCATTGCCATCCAGTGCTGCCAGGAGGCGCATGAGAAGGCAACAAAAGCCACAAAGGCAGTAGCAGCAGCAGCACTGATATGGCAACGCTTGCTGCTGCTGCTCCTGGGACAGGGAGAGAGAGAGAGAGTGGCCAGAGCGCCGAATGTGGGCGTAAGCATTGGCATGTCAAACAGAAAGCAAATACTAGTACATCGAGGGGGAGGAGGTGCTGTGGTGGAGCAACATTTTGGGCAACACTCTCAATGGGCCGTTGCGGGTGCAGATGCGTTGAAAAAGGGGTGGCTGAGTGGTGCGATGAACTAGTGCTGTACGCGCAAGTGGTTGGCGGAATGTGGTAGTGAGTGGTGGGGGCTTGGTTGCTTCCCTGCCAGGGCTACAGGGCCGGGGATGGGGCTGCTAGGGCTGAAGGCGACGCCGCGGCACAAAAGCCGCGCCGTGTGCAGCCAACAGCGAGCCATGTAAAAGCGATTCATGCCCGAGTGCATTCAGCAACGCGCCACACACACACAAACATACATACAAACATGCACATGTGCTTACAAACAAACATCCATAGAGTTGCCAGCAGCATGCCACACACACACACACACACACACACAAACAGGCACACTTTGTGCGCTGTTTTTGTCGTTGATGCCGTCGTCGTCGTCGTCGTCGTCATTGCCGTCGTTGCTGTTGCCGTTGTCGTTGCCACAAAGGCACAACGGCACTCATGCGGTTGCATGCAACGGCGCTTTTATGTTCCTGCTATTTTGGACCCATGCAGCTTGAGTGAGTGCATGTCTGTATGTGTGTGTGTGTGTGTGTGTTTGTGTGTGCAACTGTCGGTCGTTCGGTTATTTCGCACACACGCGCCGCCATTGCCACCATGTCAGCGGAAGCGGAAAAAGCAACACACACACACGCACTTATGCAGGCACACACACTAACACAAACACAGTCAGGCATAAAATGTTGGCAACATAGCCGCTGTTGTTGTTGCTTCTTCTTCTTCTGCTTCTTCTTTGTTGTTGCTGCATTTGCATGCCCACGACTTTGCCAATCGCATCTGAATATGCATGTGTGCATGATTGTGTATCTGTGTGTGTGCGTGTGTTTGTGAGCTCGCATTTCAATGCTTTCAAATAGGCAGCATGCACAACAACAACAACAACAACAACAATGCAAACAACAAAAACATCTGCATGTGCATCCATGATTTTTCTACTTTGACTTCGTCGTCAACAGAATTCCCTCCCCCCGTCCAGCCCACACAACCCTATTACACAACCAACAACAACAATCA